TATATTTGTCCTAAAAATTATACGGATATGTTAAAACCCATTATTGATTCGTAGTTCTTCTGCTGCTTATTTCCTCAGACTGAACCCATACCAGTCCAGCGTGTGTGTGTGTGTGTGTGTGTGTGTGTGTGTGTGTGTGTGTGTGTGTGTGTGTGTGTGTGTGTGTGTGTGTGTGTGTGTGTGTGTGTGTGTGTGTGTGTGTGTGTGTGTTTGCAGCTTGTAAAACAGACAGTGACCCACCTGAGTTGGTGACCTCTGACCCCTGCAGGGTAACAGATGTCCAGGTGTTGTCTGCAGAGACAGATGGTGGGGGGGCGGGCAGCTGAGGCTCTGCTTTGATTTCTTCTGTCCGTCAGTTTGTGGTCGACATCAAAACATCTCACCTGCAACACTTAGATCACACACACTGTAGTTAGTAATGCAAACAAAATCTGAAAAAGATAATCCAGAGAAATTACTATATTTTAAACCTCCACAGTACAAAGAATCAGAGTTTTAAATGTGTGTTTGGGAGGAATATGACAGAGTTGGTGTTGATTCAAAGAATGATCGACCGCATTAAGACACATACACAGTGTGTGTGTGTGTGTGTGTGTGTGTGTGTGTGTGTGTGTGTGTGTGTGTGTGTGTGTGTGTGTGTGTGTGTGTGTGCGTGTGTGTGTGTCACCCTCATAATGCATTAAGCATTAATAGAAAACACACACAGAGGAATGATAAGTGGGACCAGGGTTTGGTTTCAGTGTGTGTGACAGTAGAGATGACAGACATGACGCACACACACACACACACTCACACAAACAAACATTAGTAACTGTTTTTACTGTTGTTTATCATCTAATAGCCTATTTTTCTATTTTAAAGCCCACTCAAGTAAACATATTTTTAAATTAAAGTTCATTAGCTAACATCTGTGGCTAATATTGTTAGCATTAATATTTGTATATCTGCGTTTGTCCTGTTAAGTTTTGTGTCGTACATTTTTTTTTGAAACCACCAAAAAATGGAGAAGATGATTATGTATTTGTGCGAAATCTCTTCAAATCCACCAGAATCCATTGACAGAATCAGTCAGTTGACTTTATACTGTCACAGTAACCCATCCTATACAGTTAACCATTGTTGTTCTCTACCGTCCACCAGGCGCCTTGGGGGACTTCTTGGAGGAATTAGATAATCTCCTCTCACACATCCCTGAAACTGGCCCTCCCGCTGTACTTCTCGGAGACTTCAACCTCCAGACGGGGAAGATAGACGAACTAACATCTCTGTTAACCGCCTTTGCTTTCTCACTGTCTCCGTCCCCCACCGACTCATAAGCTGGCAATGTCCTTGATCTCATATTCTCAAGGAACTGCGCTACTTCTAACCTCTCTGTAAACCCGCTCCACACATCCGATCACTTCTTCATTTCATTCTCTCTACCCCTTTCCAAACATAACAAACTAATCTCTTCTCATCCTGCACTTGTCCGCCGTAACCTTCGCTCCCTCTCCCCCTCTACCTTTGCCTCGTCGGTGCTCTCAGCCCTCCCTTCCTCTGACTCGTTCCAACTCCTGCTTCCAAACTCTGCTGCAGAAACTCTCCTCTCTACTCTCTCATCCTCTCTGGACTCTCTCTGTCCTCTCACATCTCGGCAGGCTCGTCAGTCCCCTCCTGCTCCCTGGCTAAATGATGCACTGCGTGCTAATAGAACCGTCCTTAGGGCAGCAGAGCGGAAATGGTGGAAATCCAAACACCGTGACGACCTCCTAACCTATCAGGCTCTCCTCTCCTCTTTCTCTGCTTCGATCTCTCAGGCAAAAAGCACTTTCTTTCAAGATAAGATCCAATCTTCCTATTCCAATCCTAAAAAACTATTTTCCATCTTCTCCACCCTCTTGGACCCTCCAAAAGCTCCTCCCCCCCTCCTCACTTCTGTCAAGCGACTTTGTTACCCACTTTGAAAAAAAGGTTGATGATATTCGCTCTTCTTTTTCTGACTCACCTTTACTCACCGCTGGGTCACCAGACCCTCCTTCCACCAACACACTGACCTCCTTTTCCCCTCTCTCTCCAAGTGAGGTTCTTACCCTCATTACCTCTGCCCGCCCTACCACCTGTCCTCTGGACCCTATCCCTTCAAACCTCCTTCAGACTATCGCTCCTGATATTCTACCGTTTCTCACCCATTTCATCAACACTTCTCTAACTTCTGGTCACTTTCCAAACAGTCTCAAGGAGGCAAGAGTAAACCCTCTCCTAAAGAAACCCACTCTCAACCCGTCTGATGTTATAAACTACAGGCCTGTCTCTCTCCTCCCGTTCCTGTCTAAATCACTTGAACGCGCTGTCTTTAAACAACTCTCCTGTTATCTCAATCAGAACAACCTTCTGGATCCGCACCAGTCTGGTTTCAAGGCAGGTCACTCCACAGAAACTGCTCTCATTGCTGTCACGGAGGAACTGCACACTGCCAAAACTGCATCCCTCTCCTCTGTCATCATCCTGTTGGACCTGTCTGCTGCATTCGACACGGTGAATCATCAGATCCTCCTTCGCACTCTCCAAAAACATGGAGTTTCAGGCTCTGCTCTTTCCCTCCTCACCTCATACCTGAAAGACCGTACCTACAGGGTGACTTGGAGAGGGTCTGAGTCCGACCCTTGTCAATTAACTACAGGGGTCCCTCAGGGCTCTGTTCTTGGTCCCCTCCTCTTCTCCCTGTACACAAACTCGCTCGGATCAGTCATTAGCCCGCATGGTTTTTTCTTACCACTGCTACGCTGATGACACCCAATTAATTCTGTCCTTTCCCCGCTCAGAGACCCAGGTCGTTGCACGCATCTCTGCTTGTCTAGCTGACATCTCTCAGTGGATGTCTGCTCACCACCTCAAGCTCAACCTTGACAAGACTGAGCTGCTCTTCCTCCCGGGAAAAGATTGTCCCACTCTTGACCTAACAATCAACATCGGCACCTCAGTTGTTTCCCCGACTCAGACTGCAAGGAATCTGGGTGTGACCCTAGATAACAACTGTCCTTCACTGCAAACATCGCTGCTACAACCCGTTGCTGCAGATACACGCTTTACAACATCAGGAAGATACGTCCCCAGCTGACACAGAAAGCGACTCAGGTTCTGGTCCAGGCTCTCGTCATCTCACGCCTAGACTACTGCAACTGCCTCCTGGCTGGTCTACCTGCATGTGCCATCCGACCTCTGCAGCTCACCCAGAATGCAGCTGCTCGTCTGGTCTTCAACCTTCCTAAATTCTCCCACACCACTCCGCTCCTCCGCTCCCTTCACTGGCTTCCGGTAACTGCTAGAATCCACTTCAAGACACTGGTACTTGCTTACCATGCTGCGAATGGATCTGGCCCTTCCTACATCCAGGACATGGTTAAACCGTACACCCCAGCGCGTGCACTACGCTCTGCATCAGCCAAACGACTCGCTGCGCCCTCGCTGCGAGGGGGACCCAAGTTCCCATCGGCGAAAACACGTGGGTTTGCTGTCCTGGCTCCAAGATGGTGGAATAAGCTCCCCATTGACATCAGGACGGCAGATAGCTTACACATCTTCCGGCGCAAACTGAAAACTCATCTCTTTCGACTCCACTTCGAGCGATAGAACTATTAACGAAGCACTTTTATACTAATAAAGGACTGGCTTATCTAAAGCCAGTTGAGTAGCACTTGAAATGTTTGGCTCTATGAAACCTGATGTACTTATATGATTCTGTTTTCTTCAAGGTTGTGTCTTCCTGGTCGAATGTACTTATTGTAAGTCGCTTTGGACAAAAGCGTCAGCTAAATGCAATGTAATGTAATGTAATACTGTATATCCAGAGGGCTAGATGTAAGAATATGTCAGCTCTTTTCTTGGCTTTTTGCATCTAACGTTTTTTAACAAGCATTCATCTTGGCTTTGACGATGAACAATTTCTTGTCCTTCACCTCCCAAACAACAGAACTTATGAATAGAAATTCATTTAAACTCCTCATTATGGGCGTCTGGCACAAGGCTGCAAGCAGGTGTGTGTGCGCGAATCTTTTCACGTGTAAGTGTGTGTCAGAGATTAGGGGAGTATTCATGTCTGTTTGGCTTCACCTTTACGTGTGTGTGTGTGGGTGTGGGTGTGTGTGTGTGTGTGTGTGTGTGTGTGTGTGTGTGTGTGTGTGTGGTGTGTGTGTGTGGTGTGTGTGTGTGTGTGTGTGTGTGTGTGTGTGTGTGTGTGTGTGTGTGTGTGTGTCCAAGGCTGGCATTTGTCACGGTGGCTGTTCTCTGTTCCCAGACTCTGAATGTATTCATGAGTTAGCTGTTGACTCAGGTAGTTAGTTCACCTGTCCACACACACACACACACACACACACACACACACACACACACACACACACACACACACACACACACACACACACACACACCCTGCTGTGTCTTTTGTCCAGACATTTAACAGAAACTGCCAAATTTCCCTCCTCAGCCCTCAGCAAAAAATTCTCTCCCTCCATCTCTCCTTCTCTTTTGTAAAGTTAAACTCCCATGATGCTTAGCAAACAGGGACCTTTGAAGTCAGCTGGGATGCGGGGCTGGGGGTGCGGGGGATTTCCTGACGTCTACTTTTGTGCAGATATCAAAATGAAAGTGAACAGATGGCAGTTTTCCCAGCCAGGTGAAGCCTCTCTGTTTCCTGCGCCAGGTTCCTGTTTACGTAACGTTCAATCTGACTCATTCAGCTGCAGCAGGATCTGCTGAACAGCACACAGCACACACTGTATTGTGCATGCATCTAAAGTCTTATATGAAACCTCACTTTATTAAAGCCACATTTGTCTCAAAAAAGGGGCTTGAATACAATACGTTTGAGTCATGTCCTGCACTAAAACACAAATTTAAAATGGGCATTTCAACCAGAGCCATGATTTTATATTTCTGGTTCCTAAAGTGAATGAAACCTTGGCCAAAGCTGGCTCAGATGAGCAAGTGGCAATATTGATTATTTCTGTTGTTTTCCTTTTCAGAAAGATGTAATCAGCCAGTCAGAGGGCAGCACAGTGGACCTGAGGAAGCCCGGCGAGGAAGAGGACGAATACTCTGAGATGGCTGAGGAAGCCATGGAGCCCGAGAACTGCTTCCCTGACTGTAAGTACTTTATACTGCAACCCCACTACATATCAGAAGCAAATACTGTACTTTTACTACATTTATTAAACACTTATAATTACTTTTCTCCAATCTTCAATGGGCTTAAAATTCCTTAACTAAAACATTAAAATGGTATGAGGTATATTTGTTGGAGATAGAAGCTGGATAATAATATTCTATAATACTCTGAAAACAGCCATTCTGCAAACTAAGTACTTTTACTTTGATACTTAGGGGTACAGTTTGCAAATTAAATATTTCAACTTTATATTAACATTTTGAATTCAGGACTTTAACTTAAAGGACCCATGTCATGGCCATTTCTACTGATCATAATTCCATTGTTCCATAAAAATACATTTATATTGTGCAATTTTCCAAAATCACATTGGTTTCTCATACAGCATCTCTGTATAGTATGTGTATTCACTCTCTGTCCTAAACGGCTTGTTGGAGCTCCTCCTCCCCCCTCTCTGTGAGCCCAGTGGCTGTCTGCGAGACACAGCGAAACCCAGCCCAAAACCAGCCCGAACACACACACACACCTGCAGCCTGGCTGGGAGTTTGTTTGTGTGCTCACACCGATTTACAGCCGAGTGTCATCTGCATAGAAACCGATATAAATGCTCTTTTGTTCTAGCAGTTATTTTTCCACCAGTATAAGAGCATGCCTCTTATGGTATCTCATGTCTTTAGGTATTTATTTAATTAAGAAGGATTTTGTTGGAAGTTTTCCCCCAATATTCCACCAGTGTTCCCCGAGCCTTTTCTTTATCTACATATATGTTTGTTATCTACATCTGTGCTAAACTGGGTCAAAGAGGAATATTCGTTCTGCAAGACGCAAACGGGCTGAGTCAGGACAGAAAAAATAAATGTGCTTTTCACCTGGTTAGAAAGAACAGGATCATAAATCTCATCATGAGAGTATTGGGGCAACAGATAGAAAAGACCAATCTGTCATCTTGCTCACAATGCAATTCTGCAGATAATTATCCCAGCTTTATGATCCTAGGTCATTTTTAACATCATTTTTTACCATGCATAAAAACACCAGAGCTGTGCATGAAACAAAGATGCATCTAGAAGGAGAGAAAGAACCAAGTGTAATGATTTTAAAGGAGTTTTGCTTGGTGATATTGCAGTAATAATTGGAATATCAAGTGTCAGGGTTTGACACTACGTTCAATTTTCCGATTGTTACATAACTTTATTATCTTCCAAAAAAAGGTAAACTGTAAAATAAAAGACAGAAAAGGATATGTAAATAACAGTTGTTAAAATACAAGAATAAAACATATATTTAGTCAAATATCTCAGCAAACACTGAACTTGTCCACAAGACAATGACAAATAAAAGTTGCAACATTTTGATGTGTTTAAGTCCACTCACATCTCAGAGAAGCCAAATCGACTCATGTGGTTTTTTCAGCAGGTCAATTTTAAATTATATTGATTTAATCGGTAATTTAGACGTTTTAAAACTGTGAGCCACATGATGTTTCCACAGAAACAGGTTAATTTGCCCCAAAACGTTCATAATGAGATGTATTAACCTGTACTGTATCTCAAAAATAAAATGCAAAAACACCTCTTCCTGATTCAGCCACTTTTACAGAGATTCGTCATTTTGTCCACGATACACAAACATAAGAGCAGTGATGAGAGTGAAAGCTCCAGATCAGAGTTCGATGAAGAATTTAGTTTAAACCATTTGACTTTCAGAGCTAACTCGAGGTAAAAATGCTCCGACAGAATTAGGCCAGCCAGCTGGAAAACCCTCTCCGAAGAACAGAAGCAACAAAGAAACATCCAAGCACCTGCAGAGAATACATTAGTCTGAAGGAGTACATACTATTTGTGCAGATGACAAACGACTGGATGTTTGGGTACAAATACATACATTTCATTCGGTTCGTATCAATTTAAACTGAAATACACAGATATTTTAACCTCATTCAAGCTGAATCTTATATCTTTCTTTACATTTCTTATATCTCTCTTTGTTTAATAGTAAGAATTATGTATTTCTCTAATGACTTTTCTTTCTTATACCTCTTATGTCTTAAATCTATAACTGTATGTCTTTCTTTATATCACTTGTATCTCTTTTATATCTCTTACACAAGTCATTATTTGGCAAAAAATGAGGTACTCATTCAGTTTTTGTTGTTTGCCACAGAGCTAATTTTCTGCAAGAATCCAAATCCAATGGAAAAATCCCATTGGCTTTCTGTTGAGGGAACAAGGGAGATGCTACCTTTAGGGTCCACTACAGAAATATGTCCTTTCTGCACCACTCAGCTGTTTGAACGTGAGATGAAAGAGTTGTATGACAGGAGAGACGAACAAAATGCGTATGTGTCTTGCGTGTTCCTCGACTACTCACAGGGTCATTGTACCTGCAGTATATTGTATGAAACTCATCCTGTCTCCTGTGGATGGAGGCTCTGCCAAACGGCAGATGTTGAATTAGCTTTGATTCATTTAGAAGATGGATGCGTCCATCACATTGTCCCCACACGCCGCCTGATTCTTCCTGATTCAGCAGAGTCCTTCACAGCAGGCGGCGTCTGTCACCAGATGGACTCGGAGCAGGAGAGGCTGAAACATGGAATCAAATCTGCAGAAACATGGAATAGTCTGCACATTTATCTTCAGCATGGCTGTGTTAGTGGGGGAGATACAGGACCTGGATGGGAGGAAAGAAAGCTAAATGAATGATATCAAACAATAAGATACAGTTATTTTTAGTAAGTAAATAAAGGAGTTGAAAGTCAGAATGAAGGAGAAAAACTAAAAGAAACGTTGATATGAAGAGAGATACAAATGATGAAAGACAAGGTAAAAATAAGAGATAAAAGTGTATCATATTGCAAGGAATAAAAAGTGGCAAGAACAACAATTCTATAAAAATGTAAAGAGAATAGAACAGTCTGTCATTTAAACTCTTCTGTCATTTAAACTCTTCTTTCACCTCCATAAATATTTAAAATAAAACATCTTTTTAAAATGTAAAATGGAAGAAAAGGAGAGCGGAGACATTTTATGAAATGAAAAGTAAAACCCTGAAAAAGAGGAGACAGGAAGTGAGACCAAACACACAAACACTCCAAACACACACACGCACAGCTGCATGGCTTCCCTCTTGACTCCCCTCTCACTGGACCGGTACCACCAGTTTGCTGACACAGCACTGTGTTACTGAATGTGTGTGTTTTAGTTTTTCCGTGCATGTGCGCGTGCAGTCAGCCAGCTGCAAGTAGGCCAAAACTGACTAACCAGACACCAGGTGTGTGTGTGTGTGTGTGTGTGTGTGTGCGTGTGTGTGTGTGTGTGTGTGTGTGTGTGTGTGTGTGTGTGTGTGTGTGTGTGTGTGTGTGTGTGTGTGTGTGTGTGTGTGTGTGTGTGTGTGTGTGTGTGTGTGTGTGTGTGTGTGTGTGTGTGTGTGTGTGTGTGTGTGTGCAGGGACAAAGTGACCATCTGGAAGTTGTAGTGGCGTCTTTAACTCGGGGTGTAAATGTATGCAAGAGTCGTGGTTTTCTAAGAATGTTTGTATAGTAGATTATTTAAATGTTTTAAAATAAATAAATAAAAGTGAAAAAAGACAGACAAATCCTCCTGCTGGGGAAACGCATTTTCACTCAAAATATGACGCACTACGTACCCTGCTAATGTCTGTATATCTGTATGGACATAAGAAGTTAAGACAGAATGTGCAACAACTGGTTTAAATAAAATAAAGAAACTTATACAAACCTAAGAAGCTAGAGCAAAGTGTACATCTTTATCGGGGATATTTGACGTGGAGCATATAGCACAATAAACCAAAACTGAAATATATGGAGCTTTGTAAATATTCTATTTCAAACCGTAGGGTCACTTATTAATCTGCGGAAATTGAAAATACTAATTACAGATTGCTTTATCTTCCTTTGGTCATGTGCACACCTTGCCAATGTGCGTTAGCATATGTTAGCATATACGATTGTTTTCCATTGACAAGGGCAACATATCACTCTTTCCTAAACTTGAGTCTTCCATTGCTGATGTCGATGATGTATTGTGAAGTCAAATGTGCAAAAAATGCATCTGGTGTGTGATAAAATAAAAAATGTCATCAAGTGACAGAACAGGTGTGTGTTCCCTCTGAAGGATTAGAAAAAGATGTTCTTAGAGAGCATAGAAACTGAAGACACAAGCTTTTCTACTTCTGGGAAATATATTTAGGTGTGTCTTCATCTGCAAAGTAGTTCCGCATAGAGCTGCTGTTTTAGCTGTGAAGGATTGTGTCTCCGTGTGTGTGTGTGTGTGTGTGTGTGTGTGTGTGTGTGTGTGTGTGTGTGTGTGTGTGTGTGTGTGTGTGTGTGTGTGTGTGTGTGTGTGTGTGTTCATGCTGTGATTACAAAGCACAAACAGCAGCGGGCCTCCCTCCGGCTGTCTGGAAGAATGAGTGTGTACAGTATGTTGGGATGAATGGAGGCTCTAATTCAAACTCGCTAATAATTCATCACAGTTACCAAGGTCATCCGGGGCAGGACATTTAACGAGTCGCAGACTTCCTGATTTGACCTGAGTGCTTCTTATAAGGGTCTACAAGAGGGACACAATTAATTATGCAATGAGTGTATATAGCAGAGAGTTAGAGGTGAGCATAAGCACCTGAGTTTTAAAGGAGTACTCCAAGATTTTAGCAAACTGGCTTATTTGCTGCACCAAAGGCGATTTAGATGAAAACATTCAGTTTTTATTCCTTAAATATGTATTGTCATTTAATATTGTAAAATGTGCAAAATAGTTTTAACTTCAACTTGTTTTATATACATATTAGTTGTCTTTGTTTTCATTGATCAAACTGCCCCTTTTTATTTTACAT